TTATATAATGGTTTTTTCTTATTAACTTGAAGATGGACCTCGAGGATCTAGCTCTGGAATTTGATTGGGCTCAGATGGACATCCTTAACAGCATCGCACCTTCCTTGCTCAACAACCCCTCCTATGGTCCGCAGCAAGTCACTGTACCCACTGTAAAACTATCTTTGCCTTTCCTTATTCTTATTCTATTTCATGTGTTAATTATGAAGTAGTACCAACAATAGTACGTGAGAGTATTTTTTTTCTAATATCAAAATGACATGAATAATTATTGAATATTAGATTTTAAGGTGAATAGTTAAGATTAAACTATACAAGTCATGTAATTTAATTTGTTAAAATGGCACATATTTTTTTAAGTGATTGTATGACATTAAATTTTGATTACCTCTCTTATTCTTACGTAAAATTGGTCAACTCACTAGAGATATTTATATCTTCGTAATACCGAATCACCTATTTTTAAAGATAAAAATATTATGAAAATATTTTTTTTACAATTTGTATTACTGTAATATTATTTTATTATTACATAAAATTCCATGTAAACCTCAGTAAATATAGTTTGAGCCAGTTGCAAATCCAACTGGTTAATAAAGAAAAATAAACAGAAGTGTTTTATTTGTGAACATTGAAAGTGTTTTACCATTGTATGCATCACTGTTTATTATTATTCAGCTTCAAGACTCAGTTGGAACTGTAGTTGCAACACCAAATCAGGCTCAGAATACTGAACGTGCATTCCACCTTCCCGAGGAAATTACAACCTCCTCTAGCATGGGAAACCCTCCACAGCTTGTTGCGGATCAGTTGCCCCAGTTTTCATCAAACTCTTCAGCTCCAATATTACTGGATGAAACTCATTCAAACTATTATGTACCATCCATGGTAACTTCATGATTCATGCAATAGTATGACATGTCTATGACATATCATCATAATTCACTATACTTTGCCTTCATTGATATGCATTTGACTCATACACTCACTGAGCATAGAAACATATATACAAGTAGGCGTTTGTCCAATATGTCACATCACATATTAGTTTAAACTAGCTATTTTGTATCAATGCATTACATTAAAAGGTTGCAAGTGATTTTACCACAACGGGAAAACCACTAATTAAAACTGTTTCACATTAATTTGTTTTGATCAGGTGGGGTTGATCTCAGATGGAGCAGGCTCATTGGTTCAAGGCCAAAATATGGACCAGATGAATTACTATAACTGTAATCAATTTTCTGCCATGCAAAACAATAATTTACCACCAATGTAGGTCTTCCTATACCATATATTATGAACTGTACAGTCATTATTATCCTTTAAAACAAGTTTTAGGCACACGTATTTTTCTTGTATACGTTCCGTATTTAGGATGAATGATCTGGGTCAGCAAAACGAGCTTAACACAAGCAATCAGCTGTTAATGCCAAATATCCTACCAAACCAAAATTTCAATGGAATTAATCACCAGCCATCCTCTTATCCAAACATTTTTCAGCAAAACCACGTGAGTATAAGCATTCTTATAAACTTTTTCCACTAGTATATTAGGCTGCTCTACATTGACCGTGTTTTGTAAATTGCAAAGTTGACATGATTATTGTTGTCGATCATAACTCATAAGCAGGTGGGAGTAGAAGCTGGGAATGAGACAACAAATGGGCATTACATGACTAACCAAAGATCCCAATTGTGTGCTCTCAACAATCATCATGCCATCAACCCTAACATTGGGAATGAGAACACAAATGGACATTTCATGACTAACCAAAGATCCCCATTGTGTGCTCCCAACAATCATGGCATGAACAATCAGGCCATCAACCCAAACAGTGGGTGGAATTCCCCGAGGTAAATTACTTTTACTCACATATAATTAACTCTTTTACATTCACACATGCTCACACACAACATGACAACCTCTATACGTCATTTGTCCTAAGGGTAGAAATACATTCAGTCAACAAAGTGTTGTTCAATTAAATTTAATATGTTTAAAAAATATTCTAAACATAAATTTGACCTATTATTAATTATAGACATTTTTTAAAAAAGTCTGTTTTGACATTTTTAAAAGTTTAATTTGACCTATTAATTGATATGAATTTTTTTTTGAATGTATTTGACTTATTTCAAATAGGTTAATTGATTAATAGGTTAATGAGATTTTTTTTTCTGAAAGAAAATTATATATTGTATAAAAATAAAACTCCAGTCTCTCAGACATGAATCAGGTAGGTCAAATTTTATAAGATCACTGTGTGAGATGTTTATATGATATAAATTTAATTTTAAGATGTAATCTGATTTTCATGATAATTTATTTAGAAGTCTACTATACAATTGGATCTTACAATTTGGACATAAATAAATATATGTTTTTTAGTACATTATAATTTTTTTAATATAATAGTAATAATGCTAAACAAAAATAGTCCTTTCAAGACAGCTTGTTAGGTCAAATATTTTATTTTAAATTACTTAAAATCTGATTTTTTTAATCAAGTAAAATTTTATAAAATCCTAAATTTAGTTTATTTCATAAAAGAATGATCTAGTCTAATGTAAGTTTAAAGTTGAGTAGACCATAGGTTTATATCGAATGATTTGATTTGTTATCACCCCTATTTAAATAATTTCATAGGTGATACAAAGCTTGGAATAATTTGAAACAAGACTTTTAATATGAAAAATATTTTTAATGTAAGTAAAGAAAAATTATAGACTTAATCTACAAACAAATATCTCCATTACTATACGTAGGATTACAATATTTCCCTTAATATAAGAGGATCTCACAATCTCATCATCTACGATGGAAATATAAATACTCACTATTATTGTTGATTAAGACCAATGAAAATACAAAATTGTCTATTTGTATCATCTTAGATATCTCTTTCTCTCGAGGATTATAAATATTTTCTCTCAAATCTTTTGTATGAAGATTACATGATTCTCTCTCCTTTTTTGAAAGGCTCGTCCCTCTCTACCAAGAAGGATGCTATGGCATTTCTTAACCAAAAGTACATTAATTTCAAATGTTGATCATTAACTATGAGTTCTACAATAACATGCAATTTTCTCTATTACTCAGTAATTCATTCATTTTCACATTATTTTGAAAAGGTCCCTTTGGATGCAAGATCAAGGAAACGAATACAATCCATTGCTGCACAACCCTGGTTTTCAGCAGCAGAGCTCCACATTGAATGGACCTAATACAGGTCTTACCTCCACCTTCAACAATTCCTCGGCATTGAACTCTGCTATGATGGGGCTTTCAGGTACTATGTCAAGTGAAGGATCGAGTTCACAATTGCTTAACATGGATGCGCCTCAGTTCGCAAACCTTTTAAGGTATCAAAATTTTCGCCTTTAGGGTTTCCCTCTAACAATATTAAGCTTATGGTAGCCATCTTTTAATTCAAAAAGGGTTCATATTTTTGTAATTTTTCTTCCACCGATGTTAACATTTGTTACTATTACTAGGCCTGAAAGAGCACCAGGGGCGCAACTGCAGCAAGCTGTGAACCCTCTTTATATGAACACAATCACTCCACAACGTGCTGGCAATGGACATGGACTTCATATGTCTTCTTCTTTCGGGTATCTATGATTTCTTAGCACTTTATTCAGAATTCTGATTTATTTGCTTTAATTAGAAGTAATAAAAGAACCAACGAATGTCCTTTGACATTTCAAGTTGTTATTATATATTTGTTGAATCGTGCTAGGGCTCAATCTTCAGCGTCGTCAATTCTAAGCATGCTGAATCAGAATGACAGATCAACGGTTAGTTCCTATGGTCCTTATTCTACTCTACAGCAAAACTCAAGCCTGAACATGCCATATGAAAGGGTAAAATTTCCTGAACCACTTCTTTTCTTTTAACAAGGATGATAATATATATAT